CCTTTTCTTTTCTTTTCTTCTTTTTTCTTTTGCCAGTCCTGCAGCTTGAACTCAGGTCCTGGGCACTGTCCCTGAGCTTCTTTTGCTCAAGGCTAGCACTCTACCATTTGAGCCACAGTGCTACTTCTGGCTTTTTCTGTATGTATGATCCTGAGGAATCGAACCCAGGACTTCATGCATGCTAGGCAAACACTCTATACCACTAAGCCACATTTCCAGCCCTATAATCATGATTTCTAATAACAGTTTGTTATCTTTCCTATACCTTATAGGATATGAAGCACTTTTATATATTTGCTCATTCTAGGGATCCCTTTTATAGCAAGAAACACTTTTCAGATCTTAACTGACCAGTCTTAGATAATACTAGGTAAAAGGTCGAAACAGGATTTGGAATCTCAGAACATCTCACCTTAATCTTTTAATCTTATCACAGCATCATAATCCTAAACTGAAATGGTAGATCTTGGATTATTTTTGTCTTTTGAATTATTATAGTATGTATTATGAAATAATTTTGCCTGTTGCAGTGTCCTATGAATTATCTTTAAAAATATTAAAGACACAGTGAGCTTCATTCAAGTGTAGTGTGAAGCATGTTTCCTTAGTCTGTCTCAGGCAGTTTTCTATCTATACCACTTGGCAGACTTGGATATCATTGGATATTGGATAAAGTTGAAGTCAATGTAAAGGAACAATTTAGTTACATTGTAGCTGTTCATGTAAATTGCATGGACAATTTACAACTGAATCTGATAGTTTTTGACCTTTACTGTAAGTTTTGGTTTGACTGTTGAGTAAAAGAGCAAGACTAGATCCAGTTACTCCAAAATATAAAGTCTTTAGATTTGATTATATTGGATTTTTTGGGGGGGGTCTGGTTGTGGGGCCTGAACTCTGGGCCTGGGCACTGTCCCTCAGCTCTTCAGCTCAAGGCTAGTGCTCTAACACTTGAGCCACAGCACCACTTCTGGCTTTTTTCTTTTTGCTTATGTAGTGCTAAGGAATTGAACCCAGGGCCTCAGGCATGTAAGGCAAGTGCTCCCCCAGATTTTTTTTTTTTTTACTGGTAACAACAATTAGATTTTTGACAGCTATAAAATGTTTTCTAAGTTGGTCGCCAGTGACTGGCCTGGCACCTATAATAATCTTCGCTACTTAGGGACTTGAGATCTGAAGATTATGGTTTGAGCCAGTCCAGGTAAGAAAGTCTGTGAGACTTTTACCTCCAATTAACCATCCCAAAGCCAAAAGTAGAGCTGTTGCTCAAGTGATAGAGAACCAGACTTGAAAGAAAAAACTAAGGGAAAGTGCTTAGGCCCCAATTCAAGTCTCAGTACTGGCACATACACAGAGAGATTCTTAATAGTCTATATTATAAATATGTAAGGGAATACATATAATTTAATATTTTGAATATATAACAATAAACTGGCCTCTGTATATGTTTCTGTTTTCTCACTAATATTTACCTGTTAAAAGTTGTGGCTAATTCCTAACACTTTCCTTTTTCTTTTTAAAAATACATGGTATAAGAATTAAGCCCTTATTATTTCATAGAAAAACTTCATTGGTGAATATAAGGTGACATTGGAATGTGTTAAACATAAAATTTCTGCCTCATCTGACCTGGTAACATCATTTAAAAATTTATGCAAAACACATTTGTGCTAAAAATGTTTCATATAAAAAATAATCATTTAGAAGGGACTTCTTCTAATCGGCTTCTTCATTTTTCTCTGCCTTATTTTCCTGTTCTATTTTAATTATTGAGATGTCAAATATGAGTTGTAACAATCAACATTGCACCACATTTTTTGCTGTACTTCATGTGTTCTAATTGTATGTCATATTTTAAATAAATGAGGTATTAGTGACATTGTTATTTAAGTTCTGCCTTTTATTAATGCATTTTTACTCTTCAGTTATTTTCAGTATTTTAATGATCACATTATCAAATAATGATATATAGAACCAAATTTAGAGTAAAACAGTTACATCTACTTAAAAAATATCAAGTGGTGTTACATTAGATATTAATAGTGTTTTGCATGTGTTTTTATACTACTCTTGAAACAAGGCTTTTGAATATTACTGAAAAAAAGAAAAAAATTTAAGTTATAATTTTGATGTGTAGTCCAGGCTGGTCAAATTTAAGCTTTTCCTGCCTTACTCTCCTAAGTTCTTTGGTTACAGTTATGAAATCTTTATTTTTCCTATTAGCCATTTTGTATCACGGTGATGTGAAAACAACTTTTGGGGAAAAAAATTCTTAAACTTTTAAACTTTATTTGTAAAGTTTAAGCTTTGGTTTTGCACAATAAGCAAAAAGCAGGAAAAAGAATAGTGATATCTTGAAGTGACAAACAGCCTATCTCATTCCTTTTGAACTAGAACTCCAAGATTCAGATTGCTACTGCTAATATGGGTGTGTGCCTTTATTTTCAGATTCTTAGTTTATGCATTTGGGCTTGCTGGAAACAATGTGAGCAACATTGACCATTTTTATTGGTCTGTTATCTGTGCAGTTCTATTTTTTTCATAAAAAATGGCTGAATAGTTGACCCATTTCTTAACGGATAATAAAAATAAAGTATAAGTTTGCTACATTTTAGCTGGGCACCAGTGGCTCACACCTGTAATCCTAGCTACTCAGGAGGCTGAGATCTGAGGATTGTGGTTCAAAGCTAGCCCATGCAGGAAACTCGGTGAGACTCTTATCTCCAATAAACTACTAGAAAACCGGAAGTGGCGCTGTGGCTCAAGCAGTAGAGCACTCACCTTGAGCTGAAGAGCGTAGGGACAGTGCCCAGACCCAGAGTTCAAGCCTCACGACTGATCAAAAAAAAAAAAGTTTGTTACATTTTACATTCAGCGGATAAACTCAAAAAGGTTATAAAGGAAAATTATATTCATTTTATGAAACATTTTTTCATACTGTTACTTATCGTTAAGTAATATTGTGTTACTGTGTAAGTAATTATAGTTTAATATGAGCTTTTTTAAATGAGGGAAACTTTGTCTTCCTAACATTCTTTTGTCCCTTATGGAATTCAAACTCTCATATTGACATTAAATAGTGTGTTAAAATGTGTGTGGGTTTAGAGGTTGGGAGTTTAGCTCAGTGGAAGAACACTTGCCTAGCAAGTTGCAAGGCCCTGAGTTTGGTCTTCAGCTCTGAGGGAAGAGAAAAAGAAAAGTGTGGGTTTATAAGTCTGTTTTGATACTTTTTAAGAAAGAGATTTCAAATTTATTGTTTACCTATAGCAGTAATAAGACATTATTTGAGGTCTTAAGTAATTCTGTACTGTTATTCTAGTTTTTAGGTGAAGGCTTACCAGTTTAATAAAGGAAGTGAAGAAGCAACCATTTGAAATTGCTTCAATCAATTCACTTTTAAAAATATAAATACATTTTAAAGGACGTTAATTCTTGTGGTTTTTTTTTCTGAATCAAGTACCTTTTGGTAATCCTACTATTTTAATACATATTTCAAGAAAAATCAGCTAAAAAAAATCTTGAACCAAATAGACTGTTAGGGTACAGGTTAAGCATTTTCCTTATATGATTTGGGGCTAAAGATTGTCTCTGCACATTTAGAAATATTTATAGTTTTTATAGTTTTGTATTTCTGAGATCACTAATTGTGCTTTTCATGTAGTCTTTGAACATGTAATTATGATCATTTAATTTGCTAATATACTTTGTGATTAGTAGAAACAACTCCAGTATGCACTGTATCTTTAATGACATTTAGAGGATAGCTCTGGTTATGTATTTTCTAAAGATATGGAAAACACAACTTACAATAAAACACAGATGTTGAGTCAGAAACCTGCTTGGCTCAGTTTCAGAAGCTGAAAAGGATTCTAGTAAAACCAGGTGTGCTGGTGTGGTACTTTCATGTGCATGTATCATGGAGAGACAGTATATGCAGTAAGTTGCCTTAGGAAATGGTGAGGCTTTATATTCTCAGTGAGCAGGTGCCAGGGTGGGGAAAGTACTAGGGCAAAACCAGCTAGTGGTTGGGGAAGGGAGCTGAGACAAGTCCCCTTGCCCTTGTCTTAAGAGGTAATTCTGTCAGTGACCTTATATAAAATGAAACACAATGGGAGAAAGGAGATGAATGCTAAGCCCTTGTTCTGTAGTCAGTGTCTAGTGACTACATTCTGCTAGACACAGGAAGCTCCAAAATGCACAAATATGGTCTTGGCCCTGAAGGAATTTAGTATTACATATGTGGAGTCAGAATGCTTTTAAGATGTCAGTCTATTGTTCAGGCCTCTAGAATTACCAAATTTTGCCAGGGGTTAATGGTTCATATCTGTAATCCTAGATACCTTGGTGGCAGAGCTCTGAATATAAGTGTAGCCAGCCCAGGCAAGAAACTTATGAGACCCTTACGTCCAGTTAAACAGCTAACACCTGGAAGTGCAACTATGATTCAAGTGGTAAAACACCAGCCTTGTGCAAAAAATAAGGGACAACACTCAGGTCCTGAGTTCAAGCCCCAGGACCAGGACAGGAAAAAAACCCCCACAAATTTTGAGTAAATGATTTAAATAATAATGGTAATGAACTTAAAACCATGCAGATTATGTGGAAGTGATTCTATATCAAGTTTAGCAATAATATCCTTTCAGAAAAAGCATGCTTTGGAAAAGGATTAAAAATAATATTTTTGACAGAAAATGCAGTGAAGCTTTCCTTTAAAAATTTTTAACTAGTTGTAGAAAGGTATTTCATTTGTACAAGCCACATTATGAGTACTTTGCATCTTGAACAATGTCACCTATTGTTCTCCTCATCTTTCTCAATTTTTTTCTTCCTTAACATTGAAGAAATATAAATAGGTTATTCAACTTTAAAGTCTGGCTCTCAGGTATTTGCATATTTCTAGCCTTCTTTCAAAGCTCCTTTGTTAGATAAATGATCAGAAATTAGAAAAGTTCCGATATGGGCATATTATTATTATTTTCATAATGCTACTATAATTGCAGGTCCTTTTGGAATAAATCATGGGATTGAGCTTCATTCAGATGTGGTGGAATATGCCAAGGAAAAGTTGGAGAGCTTCATCAAAAATAGTGATAGCTTTGATAAGTAAGTACTCTTTTCTGTAGTTTTAGTTTGAATGTAAAATAGATAATGAGCAATATGTCTGTTCCTGAACACTATTAGTTTATTATTGGTTTACTCAATTGCATGCACCAAAAATCCATATGCTATAAAATGAGAAAGAAATCAGGAGACATTATATGCTACTGTTTTTATTCCATGCAACTCTACAGCAAATTATAAATGAATAACCTTTATTTGGTAGTATTTTGCTCCTATCATTTTATTAATAATGTTTAATTCATTAAGTATGTGTTTTGTTTTTCAAGATAAAACAAAAGATGATCATGACCCTAGTGTTCTCTAAAACTGGTTTAAAAAGTTTTGAGTAGTAAGTTCTACCCTCTTTATTTGTACCAAAATTTGCATGTCAGCATATAAATGACTTTCTTTAAACATTCAGTTACTTTGTCCAAAATCCAGAAGAAATTATCATAGAAATACATTAGTATACCTCATGGTGGGATTACATTTGAGAAACTTGTTTACAAAATGAGAAAGCTTTGAGCTCATACTTCTCATTAGAAGTCTTTTGTCTTGAACATTGATATCTCTTTTTTTTGCATAGATTGTTATATTTTCATAGCCCTTAATAAGACAGGAAACACGAACTTAGAAGACAATCGCTTTATGTGACAAGTTTAATTGCAGAAGCCTTCAGGTTTCCTGCTTGCTGGTTGGGAGTAGGTCCCTCTCTTCTTCCTGGCCATGATTATCAGTGTGAGAAATTAACATCTAGACTAAAATTGGAGGCTTTCCTCCAGCGAAAACTGGCCTGAGGATGTCAAGAGAGAATTGTGACTCTCTTCAGGGGAGTGTGTTTTCCTTTTCCTTTATATGCCCCTCTTCCTTCACTTTGCACTTTTATTTCTTTCTGCTTTTGTGAGGTTGTATCAGTTCTCTGGTAAGTGGCACTGGAAGCAGGTAAAGAACAGAAAACATATCCTGCAGCTTTCTACAATAGTATTTAGAGCCAACATGAGGACTTTTACCTACATAAGTGTGATTGTAACTGGGTTACTAACAAAGTTGGGGAGTTAGCAAATGCTCTGATTTTATTTTATATTTTTTTGTGTTGGTACTGAGGCTTGAATTTACGGCCTTACTCTCTTGCCCAGATTTTGTTCTCGTGAATGTCTACTACTTGAGCCATGCCTCTAATCTGGCATTTTGTTAGTTAATTGGAGATGGAGTTGCATAGACTTAATCTGCATGAATTGGCTTCTACTTGCAGTCCTCTAGGTTCTTCTTAGTAGCGAGGGTGATTTTTATATTTGGCTGTAATTAATTCATTAGGTTTAAGTAAGTCACTTAAATTTTCTGCATCAGTATGCTGATCAGCCGCCTTGATTATAGCTGTCTTTATGGAAAAAAAACAACAACTTAGGGCTGGGAAGGTGGCCTAGTGGAACGAGTGCTTGCCTCACATGCATAAGGCCCTGGGTTTGATTCCTCAGCACCACATAAACAGAAAAAGCTGGAAGTGGCACTGTGGCTCAAGTGGTGGAGCACTAGCCTTGAGCTGAAGAGCACAGGGAGAGCACCCAGGCCCAGAGTTCAAGCCCCACAACCAACCAAAAAAAAAAAATTAACTTAATTTTTAATCAGCCTTCAGCTGCATATTGTACAGATTCATATTTATTGCCAGGGAAAATGTATTTGAGAGAGAAAAAAATTTAGCTGGAGTTATTTGATAAGAAATTTGAATTCATTTTAGTAGCCTTTTGTATTCTTATTTCTCTGACTTAAAATTACTAGCGTGGACATAATTACGTTTTATATAATCTTTAGAATTTTGTTGAATTCATTGCGTTCTGTGAAATATATCCTTTGATGTTGACATTTAATATGTACATAAAGGTTTTTGAGAACATTTGCATGTTGAAAATACGAAAGAAGAATAATAAAAGTAAATGCTTTAAGGTTTATTGTAAAGTGCTATATTTTAGTTACTAATACATTTCATGTTTTAATATGTAAAGATACAGACAATTCAGTTTTGGGTCAAAAATTAGGCAGAACACATTCAAGGATCAACTTTTAATCATTGAAACAGCTATTCAAGTTTATTACTGACGAGTAAGTGTAGTTCTAAGAAACAGTAAAATATATCATGATTTGAAGCATTTCTACCTTAATATTTCTACCTTTAATATTTTAAATATTACAACACATAACTTTAAAACACTACATTTATTTTACTAAAACATTTACTATGGCATATAGGATCAAAATGGATTATGTACATAAATATTCTGTTAAAGCCCTTCACTTTGTACAATTTAATACTCACTAATAAACATTTTAATTGGCTTCATGTAATTGCAAAACGATTAAATTTCTAGGTTTGTATTTCTGGGGTTAAGTTTACTACGGATCTAGGTTTTTTTTTTAAATTCTAAAGTGATAATTCATAAAGTGTAATGGTGTGACTGATATAAATGTTTCTTTGTATCTTTTTTTTTTTGGTTGGTTGTGGGGCTTGAACTCTGGGCCTGGGCGCTGCCCCTGAGCTCCTCAGCTCAAGGTGAGCACTCTACTACTTGAGCCACTAAGCCACTTTCCGGTTTTCTGTTGGTTAATTGGAGATAAGAATCTCAGGGACTTTCCTGCTCAGGCTGGCTTTGAACCGTGATCCTCAGATCTCAGCCTCCTGAGTAGGTAGGATTACAGGCATGAGTCACCAGCTCCCAAGCTCTGTAATTTTCAATAAACTTGTTACTTTATAATATTTATTCAGATGTTATAACAACTTTTGAAGGGTTACAACTTGTTTTTCAAACAGAATCTTACATTAATAAGCCAGTCTGAAAAAGATAATTGAGGAATTTTTATTCCTGATTTTCAAGGAATGATCTGAAATAATACTGGCTTTTTTTTTGTTATTTATAATTGGGTCCTGTATGTAAAGAATAGGTGCTAGGAAAATGTTTAATCTTGTATGAAGTGTAATGCATGGTTTGAAGTAATCAAAGTTAATTAGTTTTGGTAATAGAAATTATAAAGGTAATATTTTTCTTCCTGTTTTTCTTATGTTTTATTGTTTACACTTTACATTTAATTTTTACATTTTAGTTTAGTTTTACATTTTTGGCATTAGTGGGGTTTGAAATCAGGCCCGCATGCCTGCTCAGCAGGCACTTGAGCCACCTCCCCAAACCTTTTGCTCTAGGATCTTTTTTTCCTGGGCCAGCTTGAACTTCAATCCTCCTATTTACTCTTCCTACTGTACCTAGAATGACAGGGGTGTACTACAAAACACAGCTATTAGTTAATAAGAGGTCTCCTTAACATTCTGTTCATGTTGGTCTTGAACTGTGATTCTAGCCATTTCCACCTTCCTATTACTTAGGATTACAGGCATGAGCTACTTCTACCTTGCCACACTTGTATTTTGATGATTCATTTACAATTTTTCTTGATGTTTGGGGATCATGTTTCTACTTATTTTCAGTTTAAAGATGTGCAAAATACAAAAAATCCCCTTCATTATATTTAAGTAACAGGAAAATGAATTGCTAATTGTATAGTTCTTAATATTTGATTATATTTTATTATGTTTAAGATAGAAGAGTAAGTTGGTAAAGCCTACCACTCTTCTGATCTTATTCATCCTTTTTAACCAGTCCATTTCAAAAGTATTGTCATGATTTAAACTGCACAAGAGGTTTTCTTACATCTATTGGAGATCAGAGTGAACCCTCTTAAAAATATGGTGGTGAGGAATCCATAAACTAATCATTATTGAATATATAATGTAACATGATCTCTGAAAAAATAAATATAAATGTATGTTTTTATGTACATAGTTTGGGTCATTTGCCTAAAACATAGTGTTTCTTCTCTTGATAAAAGAATCTTTATAATGTAGATACTTGTCAGTTTTCTTAGTTCTGTCTCAGCAAATTTGGAGTGGCTCCTCTGAATTTATTGTACTTGGAGATGGAAAAACATGAAGTTTTGTTGTATGACTTACTTCTGAAAGCTGTGATATTCCTGAATTAACTGAAATTTCCCTTTATAAAACTCCTGAATTCAAGGTTAAAAACTATATATTGGCAATGTTTTCTGCATTTGGCCAGATCTCTTAAGTTACTTGGGCTAGCTTCCTGGGCTAAGAGATTGCATACTGATTCATCCTTTGTAGGGAAAAGATAGCCCTAGTTACCAAGGAAATGAGTGGACGTGGAAGGGTATTCCAGGAAAATTTGATTTATAAACACAAAACCAAAAGCACACTAAAATTCTTCACAAACAAGATCTAAAATATCCTTTTAAAAAGCTCATTCTGGACTAAACATGTCTATGTAGCTCATTTGCTGAGGGTTTTGAGGTGTTTTTTTTTTTTTTTTTGAGTTAGGAGGAGGTTGGGAAGCCCAAATTATATGTATTGTGTGTGCATGTAGGTAAACAAAATTATCTCTCTAGTTACTTGAATTGAACCTGAATGATAAATTTTTACTCTGTGGGTATTTGGGAAATGAGTTTGTAAATAGAAAAACATTTATTTGTAACTATGTGTGTGTACTTAGTACAAAAACATGTATGCAGTTGATTTGGCTCCTCACAAGTTAAAATTCAGAGTGCCCTGTCCTTGTAAGGACAGGTCAGAAGATCACCTCTTTTCCAGGGTGATTGTGGTTATGGTTTTGGAAATGCTGCATTATAAGTAACCAAGTGCACTGTAGTCTGAATATCATTTCATATGCATAGACAACCATTTTTCCCCATATAGTTGACACATAAAAGAATCATGAACTGAATAATAAAAACAGTAGTTGGATGATAGGAAACAATTCCTGCTATGCATAATCTACTCTTTCATTCTAAACATTTATTCACAATCCTAAAGATACTATTTACATTTACATTGTCCCAAGGGAAAAACTGAAGGTTAGATAATGAGGCTGGACCAGTAGATTTTCTTTTTTTGTTTAGGTTTGGCTCTGAAAATTTAAATCTTGATTTATCATATTTCTTCCTAA